CTTGGTGTAAAGATTTTAAGCAATATAACTTGTAAAAGTTATATTGATTAATTGTTTTGGCAACACAGCATATTGTCCAGTGCACATGGTTAAAGATGCGCTACCTTCAAATATTTTCTGTTCTTCTTCTTAGTGTTGGAAAGTTCACGATTGGCAAATTTCAAGCTGTAGTAAATGCACAACCTCAAAAACAATTTTTGTATCTTTCATGATGTAGTCCAGAAAGCAATTTGTTGGAACATGAAGACCTTCAAATGTGTTTTCTGTTTGATCAAAGGCCTTAAAGAAACAAAACTGTTATCATCTAGGTCATTACATTGGATGGCATTTGTGCATGTAGGACAGTTGCAGATCTTAATAGATTTATGGATCTAAACTCAAATTTATGGAACTAAATTATATGGATTTATGGAACTAAAATCAAATTAAATATGGATTGATAATATGGATAAAAATATGGATTTATGGAACTAAAATCAAATCAAAGTGTTGTTTACATTTTTGGGGTTGTACAACTTGTACATAGTAGAATACACTAGATGTTAAAGTTTCATTTACTTGGTTCCCTTTGTAAAAAACAACATCCGATTTGTTGCAAGTTGAAACCAGTTTTATTGCCTGATATATTTTACTCTGCCAACAAGTCTTAATAACTAAGGGGCTATTTACATGAGCCTGACTAGTCCTGTTAACCGAGGCACCCAGCTTAATACAAATCATTTAACAAGAATCTGCCTAACCGAGATCTCACTTGAGTCAAAGGGGACGCCCGGATAACCAGGCTGGAATTTTCCCATGTAAAGTCACCAGCTCATGTAACCTGGCTAGCCAGGCCTTCAGCCTGGTTAACCGGGCCAGCCTACATGGCTACCCGGGCTCATGTAAACAACCCCTAAGGTGATAGCAACAATAATATACTTGGTGCTAAATGTAACATAATCTTGAGTAACAGAGAAAATTCTCATCTTCAGATTATTTTCCCCTCATTGTAGAGTAAACTGTTAATATGTATCTTAAAAACTAGAGTGCATATTAGAATCTCACAGATTTATAATTTAAACTGTCATTAAGATAAATCAGGTCTTTTATTGTCTGTTTTGTAAATGAGGTTCCTTGATAATGTCAAAGGAGGCCTTGTCAGTTGTGACTTGACACACTTGTGATACCAAATTTGTAAAGTCACAGCTAAAGGATTTTAATAGGTTCAAGTCAATATATTATCCCTAAAATTTATTTTAGAAGAAGAAGTAGGTCTAGCAATTCCTTTCATATCGCAATATTATTTTATACGATTGCAGGCCAATATGCCAAGTTGAATTACACTGTATTGAATAGTTGATCACAGATTCACTGAAGGTCCGATGAACTGGATTTATTTCCTTCATTGTTATGGCATTCACGTTCTTAATCCTTTTGTACACCGTGAAATATCACCAACCTATCACTCAAAACATATTTTACGGCGATCGGACTAACCACACATAAGCTATATAACTTTATACGTTTATCACTATTCGCCAAAGACCGAGGTGATTATTAATCGATGTATGACAATGGCCAAATTCCACGCTTAAATTCGTTTCTCATCCTCGTAGTAACAATTAAATCAAAGAACAACCTCTTCTTTATGATATTTCAAAGTATCATGAGTTTTGCTTGGATACATAAAAAGCTAGAGCACTTTTAGTGGCTCTATTTCGTATTCCGTTCCGCCATATTAACAGACTGGTTTGGTTGCTTTCAACATGGCGGCCACACCGGAAGTCGGCTCACATTCTGGCACACTTTTTACCCTTGAGTGAACCTTCTGCCCATATCTCTTCTGTGGCACTGTTTACCCCCCACAGAGAACAGTAAAAACTAGTTTACAAAATGGCGACTAGCCGTTATGTGGAAATCACGGAAAAAGAAATAAGCCAAATTAAAATAAATTCAGTCCCAAAAAAACACGAAAGATTGTGTAAAAATACTAAAACAATTATTCGTCTCTGACTCGGTGATTATCGGAAAATATTCACCATCTTGTTAAATGTTACGGCCTCAATTAAGGCCGCTCGCTGTTGTGAATTGGGCAAGAACAAAGAAAAATATAATCGCGCGAGTAACATAACAGACAACTTTATTAAACACGAGTGTATTGTCGTTTGTTCTTGCCCTTGTGACCGTAACAATGTAACATAACTGATAAAACATTTTTCTGTTTAACAGAACGAAGATACAGTCTGCAAACCCTCGTCCTCTATATACGTCAGTTTATGTCCTGTATATGCGTCCTCACTTCTATCGCAAGAGGCTCTGGCACCCAGGGTAGTAGTATATGCGAGACAATTCATTGAAAAATATGGCTGTATAGAGCAGAGAGATATTCAGTAAAGTAAATAATAGTTATAAACACTAGTACTGTATCTTCACTTAATTTAATGTTTTCCTTCGCTTTTTACGGTAAAGCTCACTGTTACTTTTTCACGGTGCAGTTGCCATCCAAAAATGGCGGACAACGTCTGGTCGCATGGCAATAAAACTTGGCACAATGTACAATATAATTTCGAAACTAGAACAAATGGAAGTTTTAAAACCAGACCAATCGTCCAATCTTTTTATTGCTAATATTTTTATTTATCCACAATGAAAAATAATTGTAAACCAAATATTCCTTGTGGCCTATTTCACGTATCATTTTGAAAAAAACGCAAACTTGTCATGAAGGACAAGTAAAAACTATCTTTACAATACCTTATTAAACAATAATAATCTAAATAACATCATAACACATTGGTATGAGTTTTAAAAGTTTTCAACTTAGTTCTTTATTTCAACCTGCTCCGTTTTTAGACAGTGGCGTGCTGGCAGGGGGGGGCCGGGGGGCCACGCCCCCCCCCAGCTGGCAATTTTTGGGGGGCGCAAAAATGAAAAGGGGGCGCCGAATTTTGAAGTAGGTGGGAAGAAACGCATTCGAAAAAATTACTTACGAATTCCTCCAAGGAAAGATGTGTTTATAGACTTATAAACAGACTAAGCGCATAGGCGACAAAGTGAGTATATTAAATTGCAGACTATTTTGTCTAACCGTATTTGCTACCTCACGACCCACAGGAAATCACTCGTTCATATAGAAACATGATCAGTGATCACACTAGCCCGCGTGCAGGCCCAAGGGAGCAGGCTGAAGGGAACTTGATAGTGGGCCTGCAAGCAAGGCCCGGTATTTTGTACTTTCCGCGTTCGCCCACGAACGCGGCATTCTGATTGGCTGTTTGCTGTTGGATTCTATAATTAGGTCAGTGATTCATCACAAAGGCATAGACAAAGGCACTCGACAAGCTTAAAATTCGAAAATTGATCACTTTTTTCGATTACAAAATGAACAAGAACAGACTGTTTATTGTTTACTTGAAGGAAGAGATGTTTTTGCCGTTATGCCAATGAGGATTGCTTGTCGTGAGGTGTTGGAATAGCAACATTTATT